GGTGCCGCCCGCAGATCTTCACGCGCCTGGGCAAGTGCTACACGTTCAACTCGGGGGAGCCGGGCACGGAGCTGCTGACCACGCTGCAGGGCGGCGCGGGGAACGGCCTGGAGCTCATGCTCAACATCCAGCAGGAGGAATACCTGCCCGTGTGGGGCGACACGGGTGAGCGGCGCGCCGCCAGCGCCGGCCCCGCGCCCCGCGCCSCGCTCAYGCCGCTGCCTTGCAGACGAGACGTCCTACGAGGCCGGCGTGAAGGTGCAGATCCACAGCCAGGAGGAGCCGCCCTTCATCGACCAGCTGGGCTTCGGCGTGGCGCCCGGCTTCCAGACCTTCGTGTCCTGCCAGCAGCAGCGGGTATCCGGCACCCGCAGCCGCGGGGCCGCCTGGCACCGGGCAGACGGGCCCTGCTGCAGCCCGGGGCTGCCCCCATGCCGCCCCGTGCATCGCACCCTGCGTCCAGACCCTGCATCCCACCCTGCATCCACTTCATGCATTGCACACTGCATCCCACCCTGCATTCACTCCATGCATCCACCCTGCACCCACCCCATGCATCTCATCCTGCATCCTGACCTCTGCACCGCATCCTGCATCCTGCATCCCACCCTGCATCCATTCCATGAGTCCCACCCTGCATCCTGCCCTCTGCACTGCATCCTGCATCCCATCCTGCATTCACTCCATGCACCCATCCTGCATCCCACCCTGCACCCACCCCATGCATCTCACCCTGTATCCTGCCCTCTGCACCACATCCTGCGTCCCACCCCACACCCGCTCCATGCACCACATCCCGCACCGCACCCCGTCTCCCCCATGGCACCGGGGCTCCTTCCGGCTGCCGCCCCCTCCTGCAGCCGCCCTCGGCGCAGCCGGAGCGGCTCCCGCCGAGCAGCCGGACGCTAAATTTAGGGGCCTGCAGTGGGAATCCCACGTGTGCCGGTGTGCGGCACGGCCGGGGCGGCGGGAGCGGAGCCTGCACGTGGGTGCAGGGACCCGCTGTGGTGCACAGGGACCCACCAAGGTGTGCAGGGACCTGCTGTGGTGCGTGGGGACCCGCCGTGGTGCACAGGGACAAACGTGGTGCGTGGGGACCTGCAGACACACAGGGGACACTGGTGCCCATGTTTGCACTGCCATGCCTGTGCCCCGTGTTCCTCTGCTGCACCCATGCGGTGCTGCTGCCGTGCAGTGTCCCGTGTCCCCATGCCAGGCAGTGCCCGCTGTCCCCATTCTGCCCGGTGTCCAGTGCCCTGTGTCATGTAGTGCCCGGTGTCCCCATGCTGCCCAGTGCCCAGTGGCCTGTGTCATGCAGTGCCCGGTGTCCCCATGCCAGGCAGTGCCCGGTGTCCCCAGGCTGCCCGGTGCCCAGTGCCCTGTGTCATGTAGTGCCCGCTGTCCCCATGCTGCCCAGTGCCCAGTGGCCTGTGTCATGCAGTGCCCGGTGTCCCCATGCTGCCCGGTGTCCAGTGCCCTGTGTCATGCAGTGCCCGGTGTCCCCATGCCAGGCACTGCCCAGTGTCCCCATGCTGCCCGGTGTCCAGTGCCCTGTGTCATGCAGTGCCCGCTGTCCCCATACCAGGCAGTGCCCGGTGTCCCCATTCTGCCCGGTGCCCAGTGCCCTGTGTCATGCAGTGCCCGCTGTCCCCATACCAGGCAGTGCCCGGTGTCCCCATTCTGGCCGGTGTCCAGTGCCCATGGTGCCGGGTGCCTCCACACTGCCTGGTGCCCAATGCCCTGTGCTGCGCGGTGACCAGTGTCCCCGTACCACATGGTACCCAGTGTCCCTGTGTCACACAGTGCCTGGTGCCCCATGCTGCACAGTGCCCCGGTGTTGCACGGTGCCCAGTGCCCCCATGCAGTGTGGTGCCCAGTCCCCTGTACCACCTGGTGCCCCCATACTGTCTGGTGCCCCAATACTGTCTGGTGCCCAGTGTCCTGTGCCATGCAGTACTCGCTGTCCCTGTGCTGCCCTGTGTCCCCATACTGCCCAGTGCCCCATGCCGCCCGGTGCGCCCATTCTGCCCGGTGTCCTGTGTTGCCCTGGTACCATGTGGCGTTCCCATACTGCCCAGTGTCCCTGTGCCATCCGGTGTCCCAGTGCTGCCCAGTGTCCCTATGCTGCCTCGTGCCCCCATACCACGTGATGCCCCCATACTGCCCAGTGCCCCCATACTGCCCAGTGTCCCCGTGCTGCCTGGTGCCCCAGTACCGCGTGGTGCCTCCATACTGCCCAGTGTCCCCATACTGCCCAGTGTCCCCGTGCTGCCTGGTGCCCCTGTACCGCGTGGTGCCCCTGTACCGCGTGGTGCCCCCGTGCCGCCGGTGCCCCGTGCCGCGCGGAGCCGCGCGCAGCGCCGCGCTGCGAGTTTTCCTTAGCCCGCGGGGCGGAAGCTGGTGTACCTCCCGCCGCCCTGGGGGGACTGCAAGGCCACCCCCATCGAGTCCGACTTCTTCACCAACTACAGCATCACCGCCTGCCGCCTCGACTGCGAGACCCGCTACCTGGCCGAGAACTGCAACTGCCGCATGGTGCACATGCCCGGTGAGGCGGGGGGCACCGGCGGGCCGCGGCGCCCCGCGCCCGCCTGACCGCCCCCCTCCCGCAGGCAACGCCAACGTCTGCACCCCGGAGCAGTACAAGGAGTGCGCGGACCCCGCGCTGGGTACGCGGCGGGGCGCGCGGGGACCCCCGGGCGGGGGGCCGGGCTGCCCCCCGTGCCAGCGCGGTGCCCCCCGCCGCAGACTTCCTGGTGAAGAAGGACAGCGAGTACTGCGCGTGCCGCACGCCCTGCGACATGGTGCGCTACGGCAAGGAGCTCTCCATGGTGAAGATCCCCAGCAAGGCGTCCGCCAAGTACCTGGCCAAGAAGTTCAACAAGACCGAGCAGTACATTGCGTGAGTGCGGCGCCGGCTGCATGGCCTGGCACTGCGGGCACCGCTGGCACCGCTGGTACCACCTGGTACCACCCGGCACCGCCTGGCACCGCTGGGAGCAGCTTGGTGCACCCTGGCACCGTCTGGCATGGTCTGGCACAGCTTGGTGTGGCCTGGCACCTCTTGGCATGCCCTTGGACCATCTGGCACCATCTGGCATGGTCTGGCACCCCCCGGTACCTCCTGGCATAGCCTGGAACAACTTGGCATGGTCTGGCACGGCTTGGCATGGTCTGGCACGGCTTGGTGTGCCCTGGCGCAGCCTGGCACGGCCCGGCACAGCACGGCATTGTGCAGCAGAGCTCCAAGTGCTCGTCCTGTGACCCCCTCAGCGTCCCCATCCCCAGGGTGCAGGTGGCCACAAGCTGCCCTGTCCCCCCCTGCCACGGGGGTGGCACCCGCGCCCCCACGGGCAGCCTGTCCCGTGTCCCCCTGCGCCCCCAGGGAGAACGTGCTGGTCCTGGACATCTTCTTCGAAGCCCTCAACTACGAGACCATCGAGCAGAAGAAGGCGTACGAGGTGGCCGGGCTGCTGGGTGAGCGTGGCGGGGCCGGGGGCAGCACCGGGGACAGGGCCGGGGCCGGGGGAACGGCGCCGTGACGGTGCCGCGGGCGCAGGCGACATCGGCGGCCAGATGGGGCTCTTCATCGGCGCCAGCCTGCTCACCATCCTGGAGATCTTCGACTACCTGTACGAGGTGAGGGGCGCGCGGGCCGGGGCGCGCGGCGGGCGGTGCCGCGCGCTCAGCCGCTCGCCCCGCGCCCAGGTGTTCCGGGACAAGCTGCTCGGCCTCTACCAGGAGCGGCGGCGGCGCCGGGACGGCCGCGGCGGCGCCCTGGTAAGCGCGCGC